TCCATCCTCACCACTTTTTCCTCATTCTAACTCTATTTCTATTTGCCCCAATTTTCTAGATTGCTCTACAACAGCCAACAGCCACCACCACCAGTCCGCCGCCATGGACTACAAAGAAGTGCTCGCCCTGGCGGACCAGAAGCAGACCGACCTGCTGGCGGTCCGCTCGCGAAACGGCCGACCAGGCGGCTCCTCGAAAGGCCCCGATCCGGCGGCGATTGCCGCCTTCAAGGCGCGCAAGGAGCGCGAAGAGCGGCTCCGGGCGGCCCAGGCCCGCCATGAGCGGGAGCACCTGCTTGCGCTGCGCGCCCAGAACAGNTAGCCGCATCACCGTCAACGAGGCGGAGGTGAAGGACAGCGAGAAGGTGGAGGAGAAGATCCGCAGGGCGGGCATTCGCGGCACGGTGGAGCGCACCAAGGCCCGTCTGGCCATGGACGAACGGCTGGCGGCGATGACCCGTCGCGACCGTGATCGTCTGATCGCCAAGCTGGAGCGCGAGGAACCGGTGAAGGTGGTGACGAAGAAGACCAGCGTCAGTGAGGTGCTCGCCAAGGCCAAGGAGAGTGCCGCCGCCGCCGCTGCAGCAGCCAAAAAACAACAAGCAGAGGAGGCGGTTGCGGCGGCAAAACGCCGCTCCAAGGCGCCGCCGCCCGCCCTCAGCTACGACCAACTGCTGAGCATGGCCAATGCGAACAGCAGCAAAAAGCCGATGAGTCTCGAGGAGCACATCAAGGCGGAGATGGAGCAGAAGAAGCGAGAACGCCCCATGACGGCCAAGGAGAAGGAGCAGGCAAGGGAGGAGCAGTACTTCAAGAACCGCTCCAAGGGCGCACGTCTGCCCACCGAGGAGGAGCAACGGTCCAGAGCGGACGCGGCAAATCGACGACAGCATTCTTCTCCTTCTCCGTCGCCCTCACCTCCACCCGAAGAAGCAGCAGAAGAGGACATCTACGTGCCCTACGAGCCGGAAAAGGTCTCCCGACGACAGGTGCCGACGACTGAGCCGAGCCGATACCAGCCGGCGAATCACCACCGGCCAGCACCAGCTTATCAACAGGCTCGAAAACCGCCTCCGCCTCCAGCTTCATCGCGGGCACCACCCGAAAGATACTCTCCGACCAATGCTCGCCTGCCTGCTCGGCCCTCCGGTTCTGCGGTAAATGGTGGCCCGAGAGCAGCTGCTGCACCGTACCGACCATCAGGAGGTGCTGCTTCAGCTTCCAGACCATCACCACCAAAGCCATCATCAGCTTTATACAGTGCTAATGGCTCCAGTGCTCGTCAGCCCATGAATGGGCCCATGAATGGACGTCAGAGGCCACCGCCACCACCACAGTCAGCTAGACCAGCTTACTCCTCTTCTCAACGAGCACCACCAACACCACCATCTTCAGCCAAGTTGGATCGCGGAAGAATGCAACAACAACAGGCACAACAACGGTCACGAGCACCTCCTCCTCCTCCACCACCACCACCTCCAGCTCGTGGCCGTCCTGCACCGTCAACATCATCATCAACGGCAGCAGCAGCTCGTTACCAGCCAGCTCCGTACCGGGGCTCTGCCGCCCATCAGCCGCAGTCCTCCCTTCCCTATCGTCCGGCAGCTCGACCTCCACCACCTCGATACTCACCACCATTCGCTCGGCCTCGAACTAATCTGCCGCCCATCGGCGCCACCTACCGCCGCGGCATGTACAACGACTACGAGCCGGAGCGGTACGGCGAGGAGGACGACGAGGACGAGTACTACGACGACGAGGAGGAGGACGAGATGGCCGACTTCATCGACGACGGCCCCGAGGAGGCCCCGGAGGCGTACGAGCCCGAGTACTCGAGCGTCATTCGGGACATCTTCGGGTACGACAAGCGCAAGTACCGCTACATCGCAGACGACGACGAGGACGACATTGAGGAGGCGAGCTTTGCGCAGTGCATGAAGGAGGAGAGCCACAGTGCTCGCGTCGGCCTCATGGAGGACCTGGAGGACATGCGGCGCGAGGAGGAGGAGGAGCG